AGAGAGAGAGAGAGAGAGAGCAAGAGAAAGAGAGAGGGAGAAGAGAAAGAGATAGATAGATAGATAGATAGATAGATAGACAGATAGATAGATAGATAGATAGATAGAGAGAGAGCAAGAGAAAGAGAGACGGAGAAGAGAAAGAGATAGATAGACAGAGAGAGAGAGACAGAGAGAGAGAGAGAGAGGGAGAGAGAGAGAAAGAGAGAGAGAGAGAGGCGAGAGTGCAAGAGGGCGAGAGGGCGAGAGGGCGAGAGAGCGAAAGAGCGAGAGAGGGAGAGAGGGAGAGAGGGAGGGGGGTTGAGCGAGAGAGGGTTGAATCAATGTGCACTCCAGCACTGTACAGAAATGAGCAAATCAATGTGGAAGCATGCTGCTTCGGACACCCAGTGCACTTCTCTTGCAATTTCCAAGGAGGACTCAACGAAGAGTTACAGCCCTTTGGAATAGAATCTTCACGTGCTCTTTCTTTCAGAAAGAGTCCCACTTGGCATATTAGTTTCCCTTCCGTTTTGGCAGCTCTGGTTGCACTCTCCGGAAAATGAGCTTGGGGGCTTTGCATTTGACGTGTATGCTTTATGCATTTTGCAGTTGTCATTCTTATTTCCCGTTCTGTTGTTTTCCTTTTCTGGAAGGTTCTTTGTGGTGATTTTATTTTGTCAGTGAATGGAGTCAGCCCGAGCCTGAGAATGACGGTTTTGAACTCTCTGTATGGTATGCATTCCTTCATAGTGTGGGAAGGTGGTGATGTGGAGCAGATGAAGCAAAAACTCATTACTTCCTTGGTGCTGCGCCCATGAATTTTTCAGTCGACAGCATTTCCTTTGCTTTTTCAATCCGGGCTAGCTTGCACTTCTTTGTGCCAGACGGTACACCTGACTCTTCAGTCTGGGGCCCAGATTCCAAAAACATCTTCTGATGCGCGGAGGAAGCCACAAGCAGTGTCAGGTGGAAGATATTCAATATGATGAAGGTGAAGGTACCGTATATACATGTTCTTGAAACGCACGAACCAGTCTGAAACTGATGAGGCCCGAGTACATAGTCTGAGACACGTTTTCCATTGGTTTGTTGGTATGTCCAACATCTCTACTTCATCAACCGGAGATGTATAACATATTCTGCCTCATTATCTGGCAGCGCCGGCAAAGTCAATTGAGGAGAAAGCCGCTGGACCAGCTTGCCAACTGAATTGGACCAATGCAGAATTACTATCCTGACAGTGATCCGCCGTGGGCAACCAACTATGACAACACTCCACAGGGAGGTGTTTCGGGCTGGACCAGTGAATCCTGCGCAAATGAACCGCATGGGACAGGAAGACTCTACCAATGTGCATCGAGCAAAAGCTGGAGCCCGAAGGAATGCACACTTCGAAAGCAGTTTGTGTTTCCTTCAAGGTACTTCTGCGATGGCTTGATAGGTTACGAAATCTTCTGATCTAGATCATTTGTCATATCAATGTCAGTGCTGAGCTGCCCGGTGAAGGCACTTATAGTATTCCTGAATGCTTCTTCTTTCAGGAAAGATTCAAATTCTGTGAGCTCAGCTGTCAAGTGCTTTTCAACAATCGAGCGACACTTGAGCACAGCAAACACAAGCAAGAACACGGCTTAGTTCTGTAGCTGAACGAATAGTTTGCATGCTTCTTCAGACGAACGGAAACTGTTTTCATGAACCTACACTTCAAACATTCCTTCTGCTCTGCTAGAACTCAATGCAAGTGTTTGCCATTTGGCCAGCTGCCGGATGAAGCTTTTTCGGCAGCAACATGGCGGCATTGCGTTGATTAGGGGAGAGAATGATTTGGAAGAATCAGTAAGCAAGGAACAAACAAAAGCGTGCAGTGCTTTTGCACTGTGTGGATCCATAGATGTGTTCCCGGAATGTTTCAAGAGGACGATTGAAGAGCAACGGACGACAACAAAGCTCATTGCTGAAGCTTTGGAATGATACAACGCTAACCCAAGGCAATTGCCGTGACATCTTTTTTTTAATTGCTCGAAACCTGTGCAGAGCAGGTCACGTTTCTTCAATACATTTCATTAGCCAAAATGCCTTGCCAGTTTGGCTCAAGAGTGTGGGCACTTCTGTGCCTTTGTGAACCATTGTGAGCTCCGTTCCCTGCTCTCCCTTTTGTGCATTGCCACGGCGGCTTGTGATTGGGAACTTTTTGACGAGGTGGAATAGGTGACTTCCATCACACTCTCCGCCTGGGAAACGCCACCGATGCAGCTGTTTGTCTTTCGGAAGAACGCATCTTGGAGGATGCCGGCCATCCCGCAAAGGCACTTGCTGGGCCCGGACCCTGATGAAGCGGCCTCCAGTATCTCTGGTGAGCTTGTGAAGTGTGAGATCCATGGCCCTCCAAGCCAAGCTGGGAGTCCACCTGCGAGTGGGGGGGGGGCCTCTGACCGGTCTGACCTGAAGGGTGCAGGCGCCGATGGAGTTGAAAATCTTGACGTGATGATGGCCCCTGTCCTCCGGGTTTCCTGGCTTTGCCTACACCGCCGGCTCGATGCCAGACCTTGGCCAGGATGCGGGCAGTCTTCCGGGCTTGATTGGGCTCTTGGGCTCATGATCTGTCTGTTGAGTGGAACCTTCGTTTCTTTCTTGAGTTTTCCTCTTTAGGGCTGGTGGCAGCGCTGGAAGAAAAGGAGCCGCCCAGCCCCAACTGCCCAACGGGCAAAAAGGGCCCGCTGCGCTTTGCACTTAGGCCCTAGGCTTGTGTTTTGGATTTGATGTTTGAGGAAACTTCGCACTATTAGCGTTGTGGTGCTGCAAGCGTTGGGTGTCAAGGGTGAGGCCAACACTCATGGGTGACTTACGATGCGTTTTCTCCGCTATTCACAATTCAATATCCCGGCCAGAAACAGACGACATTTAGTTTGCACTTTTGCGCCTGAAAACCAGCCATGCATTGGCAGATCGGCTCAGCAAGCAACATCGTTGGAGGTAACCAAGTCGACGCTCCACGGATTGAAGCAAAGCCTTTTGCAACAAGCTGTCTGTGCTCGTGAGCGCTGAACGCGATGCGCTTGTGAATCACAACGACATGATCTGGCGCAAACAGCTATGGAGCGATCTTTCTGGCTCAGGATTCTCCGCCGCGTGCGAGACGCTGGCCTTCACGGCTTCAGTTTGCGAAGCCAGGACCGAGCGCATCTTGAGCTCCGGGAGGCCAGGCTTCGCAAGCACTGCAACAGCGAGAGTCTCACCAGAGCTCTTCGGCGGCTCCAAACACTTGATGATCGCCTCGGGAATCTTCTCCTCGGCCTCAGCAGGCTTCGGAAGTGCCTCGGCGACAGGCTGAAGCTCCAACTCCTTCGGCGGCGCCGGCGTGCTTTCCTCCTTCGCGTTGGGGACTTTCGGTGCTTCGCCAGCCCTGGAGCCAAAAGCTTTGTCGCTTTCGAAGAGCAACGGCTTTTATTTGCGGTAGTCAAGATAAGTGGAAGTGGCGTTCCTTTTCTATAGCCCAATGTCAGATTTAGTTAGCGAAACGAGGTAGGAACACCCCGAGAACGAGATTGGCATCAATTGCGCCATTTGTTTGAAATGGTTTAGTTAATGACATGCTTAGCTGGTGAAACGAGGTAGGAACACCTCTCGAGAACGAGATGGGTACACATTGCACAAAATAGATACAGGAATGGAGAACGAGATTACACCCCAAAAACAATGCGAGATTGGAGAACGAGGTAAGGAAGGCCCATGTGATAACTCAACGGAAATATTTTCCATCGCTCACATGGCCATCGGTCGGATGCTCAGGAGTGAAGTGGGAGAGCGTTTCTTCCACATTTTCTGGCGGCTTGTCGCCGCCGTAGATGCCTTTCAGATCCGCCAGGATTCTGTCCTTCATGGCGCTCCGGAAGAGCTTGCTCGACGTGATGACGCCATCAATGATTGGCTTGCCCAAGCTTTGTGAACACAATGCTCATCTTCAAATCGCTCACTTGCTCATGACATCGATTTGCTTGGACTCGTCCGAAGGCTTCCAGTGGATCGGAGAGTGCAGCTCCAACTTGGAGGTTCATGGCAGCAAAGCCGAGCAGTCCATGAATTGCTGCATCAGATTGCTGACCTGCTGCTGTGCATCCGATGATGCTGCCGAAGATTGCATTTTGCTGGCAATGTCTGGTGCTGGCAGCATCTGAAGCGGAAAATTGTGGCGCAGCAGCAAAGAAGCAGGAGCGCCAGCAATCCAACACCTGCATGCTCGTGAGGCATGGCGAAATCATGACTGTGAACAGCAGCACGACCGACGCAGCTGGAAGACGGCTTCCGATCTGGAGAGAGCAGATCACCTCGTGACTGGCTCAAAGATGACTCTGCTTTGCGGCTCCAAGCAGACCAGACCAGACCAGACCAGACAAGACAAGACAGACAAGACAAGACAAGACAAGACAAGACAAGACAAGGCAAGAAAGACAGACAGACAGACCAGACAGACAGGACTGACAGGACAGACAAGACAGCACTGAGAGGACAGACAGGACAGACAGGACAGACGGACAGGACGGACAGGACAGGACAGGACAGGACAGGACAGGACAGGACAGACAGACAGACAGACAGACAGACCGACCGACGCGCAGATAGAC